ATTCTGCCCGTAGTATTCCTTTCCCCCGTATATTCTATAATTTCAATAAAATTCTTAAACTCCCTCCTGGCAGGTGTTTAAGCCTTGCATTGCACATGCTCTCTTTGCCTGGGGCTGCGTTTTTACTCTTGGCAGTAGCTTTTCTGAGTTCCTGGATGCTGACATATTAATCCAGTGTGTCATCTTCCTAGTCTACCCAGCCGTGCTAGAGCCCACCATTTTCTTCAGCAAATATTCTTTTCCCCCATCTATTCCCCTCACAAAACGTTTGACTTTGGTTTGTATCACTACGAACTGTTTGGAACTCTTTTGTTAAAATGTCCCCTTTTCCTAGCTTACAACTTTCAACTTTATCATTTCCCATAAGACCAAGGATAAATCTGATTTTATTCATTCTTTCACTTATTCAGTCTTTTAATTTGTGTATACAGCTTTGAAACCTTGGGATCTTTGTCATTCCTGATCATGTTTTCTCCAGCTCTCCCTTTTTGCCTTTTTCATAATTCTTTGTGCCACTGCTTTATCTCTGTTGTAGTCCATAAAGTACTTGCTATTCATTGTACTTTTTGTTTGGTTGTATGTGTGTATGTTTGCCTTCTTGCTTTCTTTGCTGCTTTACAGTCTTCATTGCACCAGGGATTTCTGAGTTTGTGGCATTCGATGGCTGGCTGCTGCTACAACTCCCTTTATTATATTATCATGAAATGCCTCTGGATTATCACTTATACAATTGGTACTTAGAGACTCAGGACACTTACTCTTTAAGAGTCCCCAGTTTGCTTTTCTAAAGCTCCGGGTTGGAATTCCTTCAGTGTTTTCAACATTACCTTGGCCGTGATATGCAATTAGCACAGGGAAGTGATCACTTCCCATTCTATCTTCTGTATAGATTTCCAAGGTGCGTTTACTTGCTGTACTGCTTGTTGCAATTCCCAGATCTAAATATGCAAAGGTTCCATCCTCCAAATTAACCATAGCAGGTGCTCTAGGATCGAGCAACAAACTGTTCTGGGCATTTGACATTTTAACCAGCTTCCCCATCATTCATTATGGCGATTAAGGTCTCCACTAATAATATACGGGCCTTTGAGAGCCTTAACTAACTCTTCCACTTCAACATTGTCAAGGATTTATATCAGGTGTACACGGTGCAGGTTCACAGAAAGGTGCCATTATTCTGCAGAGGAATCGCAACAGGTATGTACTTAAAATATAAACGCTGTTCATCTCAATCTGCAGATCCCTGCCCTTGGCATTTCTCGTCCAAATCCGATTACATCGGATCCTGGAATGCTAAGAAATGTTTCCTATATGTATCTCACATCAGGTTTGTGTATGTATATCAGACGTTTCCTGTACGTATATCACATCAAAACCAGCTTTCTTTAATTCCTAGCCCCGTGTTATCACACTAAGTGTAATTACAGCAAAAAGCCAGTAGAAGCATGTTGTTTAAAGCACACTGTTGTCATTGCAGAATGCGGTCTTTCAGGAGATTGCCTACATGCAAATACTTTTCTGCCACTTTTGTTATGGTCATTCTCTCAGTCTTCTTCCCTGTCTGTAAATGCAATTAATCACTTCTGTCATAAATGCTACAAATGCCTCTGTCCCTACAAGCAGCACCTCTCCATCTATCCCCGCTATTCGCTTTCCTGCCCTGAACGAGGGTTGTTGTACCAGCAGATTTCTCCCCTCACTGGCGTTTTCCACCTTCTCCACACTCAGCTGTGAATATCTTTTGGTAGCTTCTTCGTAAGATAGCACAGAATCATAGAATATCAGGGCTGGAAGGGACCCCAGGAGGTCATCTAGTCCAACCCCCTGCTCGAAGCAGGACCAATTCCCAGTTAAATCATCCCAGCCAGGGCTTTGTCAAGCCTGAGCTTAAAAACTTCTAAGGAAGGAGATTCTACCACCTCCCTAGGTAACGCATTCCAGTGTTTCACCACCCTCCTGGTGAAAAAGTTTTTCCTAATATCCAACCTAAACCTCCCCCACTGCAACTTGAACCTCCCCCCACCTGTATATGGTTCCGGTCATTTAAATTTTCTGTATCTCTCTGGTTTGGCAGACTCTTTGTCTGCTGCACTGTGCACATCCCCCAATTGCTGCATTTTAGTTCTGTTCCTTCCTTGCAAACAGTTCTCAGACGAGTGCTCTCCACAGCCCCCCCCATCCTCCCCTCCCAGACAGCTGCCACATGCCCAACATCGCAAAGGGGCCAGGATAGATGGTTTAACTAAGAAGAGTTGACACCCTCTATTAACCCCTGTGGTACCATTGTACCTTTAAATGTTACTCGGGCTGCTGTGGATGCTTTTTGTTCTCCCCTCTCCTGCTAATCAGCCACTTAACAAACAGCACTTGGTCTTCACCTGGACCCCTTTTAATTTCAGCCTCAGACATGTCTAGTGGAACCCCTGACATTACCCCTCTTGCGTCTGTCATGAAAAGGTAGTTGGCAAATTACTTTTATTTTCCCTAAAACTGTTGTTTAAAGAACTTTGTCAGCCTGTTCTTATGTCTCCTAGTAATAAATCTCCACTTGCATTCTGAGTATATCCCCTGCTTCACTGAACCCCTGCCACTGGTTTCAAGGGAATAACAGCTTCAGCGAGGGATTGGATAATTACCGATCCTTTCCCTTACTCCCTAGCCAGCCCTGCCTGCTCCTTCATCAGACAGAGATTTCTAGTGTGTGCTTCTTCTTCTTCATCTGCAGCCGTTCCTCATCCCTTGGAACTTGTCACTGTAACGTCCAGCCAGTATTTCCAGCAGCCCGAGGCACCTGATTTCCAGGCCCAGCTCTCAGCCTCTCCCAGCGCCAGCCCCCTTCTGGTCTCAGCCTCCTCCCTTTCCACAGGCCCAACCTACTTATTTCTTCATCTTCCACAGGGCTTCCTTGAGCCCGGGCTCTCCTCTAGGTTAACTGACTAGCTGCCTTGTGAGAACATCATTGACAACCCATCCCCCATGCCCGGCCTAGGACCCTGCCTCCTGCATCAGCCTCCCCAAGCCCTTGTGCTCCATGGGGCACACTGAGCAGCTCCCTGAACCATCCTGCTTCTCGCCCCCATGAGCTGGCCCAGTGCTTGGCCTTTCCCAGCTCCTGTTTCTCCAAATCCTTGGGGCTCTCAGGCCACTTGTGTCTGCGGGGCCTTGTCTCAAGTTCCCCCGCTCACCCCAGTGCCCTTTGGGGAAGGGTGGGGTCCATGTCTCCATAACAGCCTTGTGGGAAAATGCCTTCCCCCCCCCCTCCCCAGGGGGGAGGCTGTTGCTAGTCGCTGGAACCCTACTGGTCCCCTGCACTGTGGAATGCTGCCTCTCCCCCCCCCCCCGCCCCCCTGCATGGGGCTGGCATCTCCACTCCCCCCATGTTCCTCTACACCATGCCACACTTTTTTGACAAAAGTGGGCATTTGTCCCATTTGCTCCTGCCAACTGATCAGGTCGGACGGCTGGGACAGTGCTGAAAAAGGGACTGTCCTGGCCCAAACAGGACGTCTGGTCACCTTACCCATGCTGGACACAAAAAGCCATGGGCCCTGGGCCGCTTGCACTAGTTAGGGTGGGTCCTGCTCAGGGCATGGATGGAGGACCTGCAAGGGAAACCCAGCCCCTGCAGGATGGCACTTGGTTTTCCCATGGGGGCCTCTCCCCACCCGGTCATGGCTGACCCCAGGGCCCCAGAGGGTTCCTCAGGTACAGGCCGGCCCCTTTCACTTTCTCCCACCTGCCTTTGAAATGGCTGGTGCAAGGCTGAGTCATCACAGGGTGTCACTATGCAACTTGTAGGCAGCTTCAGAGCACCTGGCCTGGGAGGCCCTGGGCACACCTGCTCTGGAGTCCTCAGCAATGCAGATAGCTCACTCCCCATGGCTCTGCTGCTGCCCCTCGATCCCGCTCTGCAGCCCCCCGCTGTCCCAATGCTAGGCTTCCCCCAGCTCTGCTGCTGCCCCTCAGTCCTGACCCGCAGTCTCCTCCTCTCCCAGTCTGTTTACATGCTGTTTTTCAAGGGTATCCCCTACAATTAGCCATTCCTTTCTTACCCCCTTGCTGGAAGGCTAGACCCCTCTGAGCAGTCCCCTAAGCACCCTGTTGCTCTTCTCGATGCCCCCCCCATCTCGATGCCCCACCCCCCCACTGCCATCTCTGCCCCGCTCTGCCATCTCAATGCCCCGCCCCCGCCCCCACTGCCATCTTGATGCCCTGCTCCGACTGCCATCTTGATGCCCCACCCCCACTGCCATCTCTGCCCTGCCCCCATCTCGATGCCCCACCCCCTGCCGTCTCGATGCCCCGCCCCCACTGCCCTCTGGATGCCCCGCCCCCCATCTTGATGCCCTCCCCCACTGCCGTCTGGATGCCCTGCCCCATTGCCATCTTCATGCCCCACTCCCACCGCCATCTCGATGCCCCGCCCCCCCACTCCCTGGCACCCAGGGCAGCCTGCAGCTCCCGTCTCTGCCCCCAGCAGGCCCCAGAGCGGAGCTTTCTCCCAATGCGGAGCCTCACTGAGGCCGACAGCTCCTGCCCTGCCCGGATCCCTCGGGGCGGGTGGGGGGCTGGAGCCCGCCCTGCGCAGAGCTGCCCCGTGGGGGCCAGAGCCCCGGGTTCACAGCCGGCTGCTCCGCTTGCCCCGCGCCCCGACGGCTCCCCGCGCCCCGGGCCCCGCCTGCCCCCGGCCGGACCCCAGGGCACCTGCAGCCCCGGCAGCCCCGACCCGCGGGGCCGCCTGTCTCCCGGGGAGCCGGGCACGTCGGGTCGGGGCGCTGCGCCCCGGCCCCGGCCCCGGCCCCGGCCTCTGCTTTGGGGAGGGGCCCCGGGCCTGGGCCTTATGCCTCATCCACCGACGGGCTCCGCGGGCGGCAGCCTGGTGCGCGCCCGCCCCGCAGCGCCCCGCGCCCGCCCCGCAGCGCCGTGCACGGAGCCGCCCGGGCCGCGCGCCGGGCTGGGCGGGTCACGTGACGCGCCGGGCTCTGCCTCGCTCGGCTCAGAGCCGCAGCGGCTGCGGTGGGGAGCGCCCGGCCCGGCCCGGCTCGGCTCGGATCCGATCCTCCCCGGCCCCGCCGCTGCTGACACCCCGCTTGGCATCGCCGGCTGCGCTCCCGGGAGCCCCCCGCCCCTGCTGCGGTAAGAGACCCCGGCCCTGGCCCCGGCCCCTCCCGCCGGCTGCTCGCAGGGACCGAGGGAGCCCGGACGCCTGGGTCCCTTCCTCGGCTCTTCCAACCCCCGGCTTCGGGCAAGTTGCGTCTGCTCCCCGTGCCTCAGTTTCCCGTCTCTGCCCACACGGACAGTGCGGCTCGCCCGCTGGGCTGGCGCGCCCCGAGATGCGGGCGGAGATGGGCAGAGGCCGGGGCTTGGGCTTGGGGGTGTTCGCCGGCTCCGTTCTCTGGGCCGTGGGTGGATCTGCCTGAACCTGCCCCCCTCCCTCGCTCTCCATAGCCTCTCCCCGCACAGCTGAGAGCCGGGGGCCCCGTGTCACCACCCCCTGAGCAATGGGCAGGGGGAGCGAAGAGGCCCCCGGGGTGTCCCACCCACTGCAGCCCGGGCTGCGGCTCGGAAGGGGCTTGCCGCGGGTGCTGGCAGGTTGGCACCAGCTGCTCCTCCAGCCACGATGCAGGTAGGCTCCTGCTGGCGCTGCCTGCCCCAGGGTCCTGGCTCACCGGGGGCCTCGGGCAGGTGCCCGTCTCACTGCGGGGCTCAGTCTGCCCCAGCATCTCCTGCTGCCTTAGCGGGGTGAGCTCTGGGGCTGGGAGAGCGGCCCTGCTTCCTGGGTGCCTCGCTCCAGCTAGACAGGGCAGGGTGCTGCAGGACTCCTGGCAGCCCAGCCCAGCCCAGCCTCCATGGGCTGGTGGGGTGCGAAGACACAGGAAGCTCTGCGTGCAGTCCATCGCCCAGAGCGGGCTGCAGCACCCCTGAGTGAGCAGCCGTCAGGCTTTGCTGGTCCTGAATAGCCAGCTGGGCCCCGCTACGCCGGGCACGCACTGTTGCAAGTGATGCCAGGCCACCATTGGCACAGGCAGGATGCGGGTCTTTAGCGTGGGCACATGCAGCTCGCACAGGGCCCCCATGGCTGGTACCTTGACTACTGGTCTTTCCGCCAGGACGCGGGTCCCAGACTGAGCATCTGCTGAGCCCCAGGGGGACCCATACAGAGCCAGCAGGGTAATAATGCTCGGGACATCCTGCTGGGCTCGGGCGAGTCCCAGACCTGTGGTCTGTTCACTCATTGGTGGCTCTGGATCCGCTGGAGCGAGAATTCCCCAAAACGCTTCACCCCAGGGAAGCTCTGTGGCTGCAGTCCTGGGCAGGACTCAAACCAGTGGCCTAGGGGTGGAAGGATTTGCTTCCCCTCTGGTTCCAGGAGCCGGCCAGGAGCCACCTCCTCCCTGCACTCCAAGCACAGCAAATGCCCAGTGAAATCCAGGCTGCTGGAGATCGGAGCACTTGGCTTCCCACTGTGTGTCAGGCCCGGGCTGGCTTCCCTGGTCCAGCCCCCAGCAGTGCCTGCTGAAGTGCACGCAGCTTTCCTGGGCTGGTGTAGCTGGGCTTGGCGGGGGGAGTGTGGCTGCGGAGAGACCTTTCTAGGGTGCGAGAATGGCCTTTCCTTGCCCTCTGGAGGCTGCAGAGTGCCCAGCTGGGCTCCCACAGCTGGCAACAGTTAAGGGGGGATGTGGCACATAGACCCAATGGGGAAGGGAGCGTTTGAAACCTCCTTGTCTCCGCGTGGTGCAGCTCCTTGGAGGGTGGGTGTGCTGGGTTTCCGACCTGATCGTGACCGGCTCCGTGGGCTAGTTACCGCCAGGAGGAGCCAGAGCATTATCACAGCTGGCATCTGCCAGGTGAAGCAGGGAGGAAGAAGCTGCCAGCCATTCCCTTCCCAATCTGCATCCAGAGTCATTCCCGCTTGTGTGAGGGTAACACTGCTCTCCCAGCCAGGGGGAGCTCCAGGCTGCTGCCCCTGTTCCCTGAGGATCTCAAAGCACTTTGCCCAGCTGGGTTGATATTTTCAATCCCTGTTGACAGGGGGGGAAAGTGACTTGTCCTGGGCATTCAGGGAATCGATGTCAGAGCCGGGAATAGAACCCAGGTGTCCTGGATCCTGGCCTGCAGCTCAGCGTGGCATTTCTGTGCTAACCGTGGGGTTTGACGATGGAAGGTGCTGGGGGCACAAGACCTCCTGTGAAGGTGGGAGCCTGGCTTTTCGCATGTGTCAGGCAATACCCACTGGCAGGCTAGGGGACTGCTGGGGTCGGGAGGTGCCGCATTGCACAAACCACCTGGGGCGGGGGTCTCAGCCTGTTCTGGGCTGCACCCCCCCGCACCAGGATGAGACCTACTGCTCTAGGTGCTTTATGGGCGCTGGTGGCAGAGATGGGACTGGGCAGCATCAGGGAGGATGGTGCTAAATGGGCTGGTTCGGTTAGGTCAGCCTCTGGCCAGCATGTGCTGTTGCATGGGGTCGGGAGTGAGCGGCGCTGGCAGAGCCGGGGGGGCTGGCCGAGCAGGGGGCTGCGGGTCGGGAGTGAGGGGCGCTGGCAGAGCCGGGGGGGCTGGCCGAGCAGGGGGCTGCGGGTCGGGAGTGAGGGGCGCTGGCAGAGCCGGGGGGGCTGGCCGAGCAGGGGGCTGCGGGTCGGGAGTGAGGGGCGCTGGCAGAGCCGAGGGGGGGCTGGCCGAGCAGGGGGCTGCGGGTCGGGAGTGAGGGGCGCTGGCAGAGCCGAGGGGGGGCTGGCCGAGCAGGGGGCTGCGGGTCGGGAGTGAGGGGCGCTGGCAGAGCCGAGGGGGGGCTGGCCGAGCAGGGGGCTGCGGGTCGGGAGTGAGGGGGCGCTGGCAGAGCCGAGGGGGGGGCTGGCCGAGCAGGGGGCTGCGGGTCGGGAGTGAGGGGCGCTGGCAGAGCCGAGGGGGGGGGCTGGCCGAGCAGGGGGCTGCGGGTCGGGAGTGAGGGGCGCTGGCAGAGCCGAGGGGGGGCTGGCCGAGCAGGGGGCTGCGGGTCGGGAGTGAGGGGCGCTGGCAGAGCCGAGGGGGGGGCTGGCCGAGCAGGGGGCTGCGGGTCGGGAGTGAGGGGGCGCTGGCAGAGCCGAGGGGGGGCTGGCCGAGCAGGGGGCTGCGGGTCGGGAGTGAGGGGCGCTGGCAGAGCCGAGGGGGGGCTGGCCGAGCAGGGGGCTGCGGGTCGGGAGTGAGGGGCGCTGGCAGAGCCGAGGGGGGGCTGGCCGAGCAGGGGGCTGCGGGTCGGGAGTGAGGGGCGCTGGCAGAGCCGAGGGGGGGCTGGCCGAGCAGGGGGCTGCGGGTCGGGAGTGAGGGGCGCTGGCAGAGCCGAGGGGGGGCTGGCCGAGCAGGGGGCTGCGGGTCGGGAGTGAGGGGCGCTGGCAGAGCCGAGGGGGGGCTGGCCGAGCAGGGGGCTGCGGGTCGGGAGTGAGGGGCGCTGGCAGAGCCGAGGGGGGCTGGCCGAGCAGGGGGCTGCGGGTCGGGAGTGAGGGGCGCTGGCAGAGCCGAGGGGGGGGCTGGCCGAGCAGGGGCTGCGGGTCGGGAGTGAGGGGCGCTGGCAGAGCCGAGGGGGGGCTGGCCGAGCAGGGGGCTGCGGGTCGGGAGTGAGGGGGCGCTGGCAGAGCCGAGGGGGGGCTGGCCGAGCAGGGGGCTGCGGGTCGGGAGTGAGGGGGCGCTGGCAGAGCCGAGGGGGGGGGCTGGCCGAGCAGGGGGCTGCGGGTCGGGAGTGAGGGGCGCTGGCAGAGCCGAGGGGGGGCTGGCCGAGCAGGGGGCTGCGGGTCGGGAGTGAGGGGCGCTGGCAGAGCCGAGGGGGGGCTGGCCGAGCAGGGGGCTGCGGGTCGGGAGTGAGGGGCTCTGGCAGAGCCGGGGGGGCCTGGCCGAGCAGGGGGCTGCGGGTCGGGAGTGAGGGGCGCTGGCAGAGCCGGGGGGGCTGGCCGAGCAGGGGGCTGCGGGTCGGGAGTGAGGGGCGCTGGCAGAGCCGAGGGGGGGCTGGCCGAGCAGGGGGCTGCGGGTCGGGAGTGAGGGGCTCTGGCAGAGCCGGGGGGGCCTGGCCGAGCAGGGGGCTGCGGGTCGGGAGTGAGGGGCGCTGGCAGAGCCGGGGGGGCTGGCCGAGCAGGGGGCTGCGGGTCGGGAGTGAGGGGCGCTGGCAGAGCCGGGGGGGCTGGCCGAGCAGGGGGCTGCGGGTCGGGAGTGAGGGGCGCTGGCAGAGCTGTGGTGAGACTTACCTCGGGCTGCTGCTGAACATGCCCCTTCCCCCCACTGTTGACCGTGTTTCTCGTGGCCCCCCGAGAGGCGCACGCCGGGGTCATGCAGCGATTGACCAGCACAGCCTGGCTCCATCTAATCCACTCGCTCAGCCCAGCTGGGGGCACACGCACCCCCAGCCCTGCCCACACACAGCACCCAGTGCACGCCCACGCCGCACGCCCATGCCGCACGCCCGCGCTGCCCGCACGGAGCCTGGCCTGCCAGCGCGTGTGTGCATGGGCACGCACACACCAGTGCCCGCCACCTCTCGCACGCTGACTCTCTTCTGTCAACTCCTCCCTCCCACAGTCCCACTGTTCGCACTAGTGTCTCGTCTCGCACGCCGAGCCGAGCCATGGGAGGCTGCTGCGGTGTCTCCCCTTGCCGTGGGGCTGTTCCCTGCTGGCTGTCTCGGTGATTGCTTGGCACTGTGCCCCTCTGCCCCTCTTGCTGGGTTGCTTTGCATTAACTTGCTACGTTGGCACCTCCCCCCCAACGTTTCAAGTCTTGGGGGGCCTTCGCCACTCGGCGCCTGTCTCTCCCGTCTCTCAGTGACCAGCGGGGAGGCCCTGTCAGTGCCCGTTCCGTACAAACCCGCTGCTCTTTGCCTCCCCCTCGGCCGCTGCGGGGCCCGCTTCTTGGGAACCCTGCCTCCCTGCTGCTTGCCAGAGCCCTCAGGCCTTGCTGGTTTCCTGCCCCCAGGCTCCCCAACCCGAGTTTTCTTGTGGAGCTGGTGTGGTCTGCGGCGTGGCCCTTTGTTTGTGCAGCTGCAGCTCCCTCTGGCCCCGCTCTGGAGGGAATGTGTAACGAGCATGGCGGGGGGGGGGGGGGGGGGCGATCAGGGCGCAGGCCTTGGTTTTTGGTCACATTTGTGCCTGCAGTTGTATGAGGGGTTGCTT